CTAATCAGTTTGTAAACTGAAATAATAATAACTAAAATTTAAATTTAAATGTAATATTAAAATAAAAATGTAATAAAAATTTTAATAGAGTAAATATAAAAATATAATAATATAATATAATAAAAAAAACTTTAATATTAAAAATATAATTATAATTAGCTAAATTTAAAATAGTAACAAAAATATGATACTAAAATAACCCTGATTCAGACTCCATGTGTTTTTTTGACTTATGAATATGAATATAGTCGGACCTGATGTGGTTTTTCTGTCCAGATGAGAACTTGATTAAAAGTATTAATTTCATAAAAAAGAAAAAGCATACTGATCTCTAACTTTTGATCGTGATGATGATATTAAAACAGCATTTTCTTCTCGTTTTACTTGCATAAGGATATTCATAGATCTGGAGCAGGACGTCCATCAGGAATGTGTCTCTCTTTGACCAGCAGATCGATGACGTCAATGAAAAGAAAAGTCATTTCAGAGCTGGAACAAGATCATGCATTTTGATGAAAGATTTCAGGTAAGAAGGCATTTTTCTCTTAATATTTACATGCACTGATGAGTCATTCTCAATAAAACCAGGAATGCCAATTAAGAAAGTCAGTTTGGGTGCATGTTTAATTTAAAATTGATGAAATCCATATTTATGACACATTATGTTGGTTATATCACACATTTTTACTGGATGAGAATAGTCATTCAGACCCGGTTTATTATAGCAACTAAAACAAAAAAATTAAATAAAAGTGTTACGTGGTTTTTCTGTCCAGATGAGAACTGCTGTTTCATTCAATGTAAATGAGCGCATGGACTCAGGTGTAGGTAATCTACATCCCAAAAACATGGCACAGAGGACACAAAAACACGAGCCCTGTCTGAAAACACCTCTGTTTTTAGTCATTTTGAGGTGTTTCAGTCTGCATAGTGCATTTCTTTCTCTAAAGTGTCCTCGGTTGTGTTCGACCCTTCAGATTAGGGACCCAGAAAGCCAATAGAAGTTAAAAAAAAATGAAGTAAAAAGGCAAAGTGAGGACAGGACACTTTCTGTAAAGATCCCTGGAGAAATAACGCGCATGCATTACGCCACAAAACAATGTACAGATGGAAAAGAAGAGCCACAGAAACTTTGAAATGGCTTTTCTCAGTCGGACTTATTTTTGAAGTGTTTTTAGGTCAAGTAATTAGTATTAATTATGTCCAGCCTAGATTTGAGTGCATTTAGCTATTTAAAACACTGGACTTGCATGTTGTGAGGATTTGAGGGAGGAAATGGCAGTCTAGCGCACAATGATTTCCCAAGGCTGTTCTGTTTCAGCTCGCGTGGTCGTCTTCATACATAATGAATCAGACTCCAATCGGAGCCCTGCTGTTTTAAAGGCTCTTCTGTGTCCACTACACACTGCGCTTAGATCACACACACACACACACACAAACACACATGTGCAGGGTGTCGTCAACATGCTTCATTAGAGGAACAAATTCCCCATTATTACAGAATAATGCTAATTAACGCTAACTGCATTTGCATATGCATTATTATCTGCACATGATGGCTACTTCTTGCTTTGATAAATAGATATATAATTACGTTTCTTAAATTTGGGGTCGCAAGATTTTTTACAAATATTTTTGAAGGTGTCTTCTGCTCACCAAGGCTTCATTAATTTGATCGAAAATGCAGTAAAAGCTGTAATATTGTGAAATATTATTACAATTTAAAATAGCTGTTTTCTATGTGAATATATTGTAAAATGTAATTGATTGCTGTGATCAAAACTGAATTCTCAGCAATATTTCTCCAGTCTTCAGTGTCACATGATCTTCAGAAATCATTCTAATATGCTGATTTACTGCTCATTTATTATGTATTTCCATTATACCATTTTAGTTATTGTTCATATTTTAAATTAGATTTTTTAATTTTAGTTAACATTTTAGTAATTATTTTTATTAGTTTTATGAATCTTTTGTAATATTATAAATATATGTTTTAAATGTTTTGATCAGATTAATGCATCCTTGTTAAATAAAAATATTCATTTATTTGATTTAATATTATTTATTGATTTAATATTAATCTATTTTTTTCCAAAGACAAAAAAAAAAAAAAAAGTCATTGCAAATCATTTTATTTTTAAATTTATGTTTTTAATATTTTTTCCAAAAAAAAAAAAAAAAAAAAAAAAAGTCACACAAAATTAAAAGATTATTTAATATAAAGACCATACTTAATTTTTATATATTTAATATATTTTATTTAGACATAAGCCAAAATCCCAGGACAATAAAAATTAGACTTTTTTTTTTTTTTACATAAAATAAAAGTAAAACAATCTTAAAATCAACTATTATTGTAAAACACATTTAAAAAAAAAAGCAATACAATGTTTATCATTTAAGATGCGTCATGGGATGAGTAATTTGTTGTCTTTTTTTTTTTTAACACTTAAAAAAAAAATAATCTGCCTAACATCTGCTATTAAAGCGCAGGATGGCAAAACATTATTTCAGCAACTTCTAGACTTATTTTCAGTTAGTAACTTCCATGCAAGAATTAATTATTATAATTAAGGTTAAAATGAACATATTATTGGTTGCATTTTAAACTGACAATTATATTTTTGCTTTTTTTTTATTGTAATGTGAGCTCCCCGAAGCCTGTAACGCTTGGTCCGCCACCCACATTCAACACAATGCCAAACTAAAGGAAATTGATATTCAGCCTCTCGCTGCATGACTGAACATTTTATATCAAAGAGAAAGCCACTTTGATGTGTTACTGTGGCTGGAGATCTGAGACTGGGAAGTGTCAAGTGAGTCGATCACAGCGGCTGATGTTTGTGACGGGCCGCTGTCCCCGGTGATGTTTGCTAATGCTGGAGCTGCTGCTGACCAAAACAAACTCTCTGACAGGACAGAAGAGAGATCTGGGATGAGCAAAACATCCACTTATGTGTGCGAAAAATAATTCAGTCTTCAGTGAGTTATTAGAAACTTCAGATGACTTCAGTGTAGAGTTAACTACAACTAAAACCATAAAAAAATAAATTTTTGTTACTTGAAATAAACATTAACTAACAAAATATTTTAAAAATAATAAAGTTTCGTAAAGTTTACTTGCTAAAATAACGAAACAAAATTAAAACAAACAAAAAAAGAAATCATAAAATCTAAAAATAAAACCTAATTAAAAATAAGAGTACAAAAGTATTTACAAAATGAATCTAGTATTTGCATTAATATTAGTGCACATACAGATTTTGATTTTATACATTTCAAGCCCATCCAGTGTTATTTTCATATCATTAAGATACTATTATAATTTTTAATAATCATTTGAAATTATTATTTTATATTCTACTTTCATTTAAAAAAAAATTAAGTAATTTTGTTGTGTATTTTTATAATTAAGCTTTTTTAAAATGTCTAAACCATTTTGTTCATTTTTAGGTGTGCTTTTATTACAAAAAAATATTTTGTTCCTCAATATTTTTGACTTGTTTTCCAGTAAAAATATCGAAACTTTCATAAATCAATATACATTTACTCGAAGCAAAATGCATTTGATATTATGTCTACTTGTTTTCTTGAAAAATGTATTTTTCTTGTTTTAAGCAAAAACTCTCTTAATCTTGATACATTTTTCATAACCTATTTTACTTCAACCCCATCTCATGAAAGTGTGTATAAATAGTACGCCAAATAAAAACGAAAACTCGTGGTATTGATACGCTAAAATGGACTTTGGCGTGTATATGCTACGCGATGGGTAGGTTTAGGGTTGTGGGGTAGATGCGTATCATATGCACGCGAAAACTGCGTATTATATGCACGCCAAACACATGCGTATCATATGCACGCCAAAGTCCATTTTTGCGTATTAATACCACGAGTTTTCGTTTTTATTTGGCGTACTATTTATACGCATTTTCATGAGACCGGGCTCTTTACTTTAATAATCTTATGTATTTTGATTAAACCAGGATATTCAAAGAAATACTTATTTTATAATTTTAAAAGTGTCTGTATAAGAAGATGATGAAAATTCATGTTGATTTCATGTTGACTGACTAAAAATGTCTGAATGGCATTGCTTTAGAAAATATCAAAACGAGTGTCATTTTATCATTGGATGCAGTGACATTCAGACACTTAATGCGGCTTAATGTCCAAATACTTTTAGGTCTGCTGTAATGGATGAAAGAAAAAAACTGTCCTAAACTATTGTAAAACCATAAAAAGCAATGAAAATGTGATGAGACCGTCATTAATACAGAATGCATTTATGAAGCTGTTTCACATCAGATCTGCTCATAGCCTGAGGAGAAAACTCAGCGTAATGCTTTAAAATCATAAACCTCAGTATTTCCACTGAATCCAATGATCCAAAACTTATGGAAATGTCAGAAAATTTCACCCTGAAGAAATGGCTTTTTATCCAGAAAAAAAAAGTGCGCTAAAAGAACAACTTCAAAACATCATAACTCCTTTTGATATTGACAGGAGTTTGATGTAAAAAATGATTCATGGTTGAAAATAGTCATGTTACATTAATGCCACAACGAGTAAAGGATGACAATATTCTTTAAAGGAATAGTTCACCCAAAAATGAAAATGTGCTGAAAATGTTCTCACTCTCAGGCCATCCAAGATGTAGATGAGTTTGTTTCTTCATCAGATTTGGAGAAATGTAGCATTGCATCAGTGTCTCAGCAATGGATGCTCTGCAGTGAATGGGTGCCGTCAGAATGAGAGTCCAAACAGCTGATAAAAACATCACAATAATCCACAAGTAATCCACAGCACTCCAGTCCATCAGTTAATGTCTGGAGAAGAAAAGAAAAAAAGAAATATATAATTATATATAATTATAAGTGATTAAATACAAGATTAATAGTAGTTATTAAGATTGATGTCGTTTGGAATTGGTAAAATGTGCTTGGAAAAAAATATAATCAGAATATCAACTTGCATAATAATTATGCATGCACTGTATATTTCCTCTTTTGCTGTCGAGGTAATGCAAGGAATGTTGTGATTGGTTGTCAAGGCAGCCAATCATAATTTAGCAGCCTCGTCTCTGATTGGCTGGAATTATGGCATATTGTAACGCTGGGTTGTGTTGAGCAAGCGAGCCGTTGGCATTTAGACAGCACTGAGGGCGGGCATCAAGGGAGCAAGCTAGTGAAACACTGCACGCGCAAAAGAGAAGGTCTGCCCAAATCCAAAAACGTATTTTAAATGCTAAATTGATTTTCGTGCTTTGAAATACTTTTCTCTTTGCGAAACGAACATTTTCTCCACAAAACTCAGATTGTGGCAGAGATCTAAGCCTATATCCAGCCACATATTTGTTTCAAGCTGTTCTGGACTGTTTTGGCTTGTAAACAGTGCTTGATCTGTGCAGATTTCTCTCCTGATTCAGACCAGAACACTTTTTTCACTGGAGGAAGCGTTATTATGGATTATGGACTCGTATTTTAGCAACGGTTTGAAGTTAAAAACACCTTAATGCTGGATTTGTTTCAGCTTTTGTCTTCTCCAGATGTTAACTGATAGACTGGAGTGGTGTGGATTACTTGTGGATTATTGTGAAGTTTTTATCAGCTGTTTGGACTCTTTGACTGGTCGGACTTGTAACCCGAAGGTCGCGGGTTCGAGTCTCAGGTCCGGCAGGGATTGTCGGTGGGTGGGGTGAATGTACAGAGCTCTCTTCCCCCTCAATACCACGACTGAGGTGAGACCCTTGAGCAAGGCACCAATTCCCAACTGCTCCCTGGGCGCCGCAGCAATATGGCTGCCCACTGCTCCAGGTGTGTGTGTGCGTGTGTGTTTGTTCACTACTCACTACTGTGTGTGTGCACCTGGATGGGTTAAATGCAGAGCACAAATTCTGAGTATGGGTCACCATACTTGGCCACATGTCACTTCAATTCACTTTCAAATTCTGAGTATGGGTCACCATACTTGGCCACATGTCACTTCAGTTCACTTTATTCTGACGGCACCCATTCACTGCAAAAAGGATCCATTGGTGAGCAAATTCATGAAAAACATGTATTTAGTATAATATGTTGGAAGTGTTTTTATATATCTTTTATTTATAACAGTTTTTCAGAAAATACAAAACAAAACAAAATCCCACAAACTGTAGGCCTATACAAATAGTACGCTATACGTGAACTAACCATACAAAGGAAAATAAAAAACAAACAAACACCCGAACACACACCAGGTACTGTGAGAAATGCACACCTTAAACAAAGCCATACTTAATCAGACTTAAACAGAATATTAAAAATAGAGTGGAATAATCAAATATCAATGTTATCTATGTTACATATGTTGGAAGTTTTGACGTGTGTTTGTTTCAACATATTTTTCAGTTTAATAAAATAATGTGCGTGTAAACAAAACCACCTCTTGCAGGAGGTCGAGTCAGTTGCGGCTCATCTAATAGAGTTCGTCTGATGTTCTGCCATCTCTCTGTGTTCCCATTACAGCCTCTAATGCTCTGTTACGATTTTTTGGCTTAGATCTTTCACTTCTCCACATCTACGATCAGCGTGATCCCACCCGCCCAAAAATGACCTGCTCATGATTTCCAAAACTCTACCGTCACGTGCATTTTGGCAAAAACAAGAGAAGTTTAGGTAATCGCAGATTGCAAAACTAATTTGCCTAAACTGTGTTTCGTTCCCTAGAGTTTTGCTTCAACTGAAGTGTTTCCCCAAGTATCAATGAAATCTCTCGACTCCCGCTGACTTCCTTTGCTGCTGCTTTCATCTCTTTTCTTTTACTTTTTTCCAGCGTATAGGTGCTCCGGCTGTGAACGATGAAGTAACTTGTGATGTTGCAGAAATGCGTGAATGTTAATGCGACGGTTCATACTGACGTCACATGGTGAATTGGATGTGCATCGGATTCAGGATCCCCAAGTGGCCCGAATCTGGTATGAAAAGATGCAAAATAACCAAAAACATTCTGGGAGAAACTCCCAGCATGTAGCGTCAACGTGGCCTAATTTGCTGAGTTTATAAGATTTCATTTCAAGCCCAGACAATTTTTTTTTTTGTCCCTTAAAGGAATAGTTCACTTAAAAATGAGCATTTACTGAAAATGTTCTCACTCTCAGGCCATCCAAGATGTAGATGAGTTTGTTTCTTCATCAGATTTGGAGAAATTTAGCATTCCATCAGTTGCTCAGCAATGGATGCTCTGCAGTGAATGGGTGCCGTCAGAATGAGAGTCCAAACAGCTGATAAAAACATCACAGTAATCCACACCACTCCAGTCCATCAGTTAACATCTTGAGAAGACAAAAGCTGAAACAAATCCATCATTAAGACTTTTTTAAAATCTAAAATACGGGTCCATAATCCATAATAACGCTTCCTCCAGTTAAAAAGTTGTTTCGTTTGAATTAGGAGAGGAATCTGCACTGATCAAGCACAGTTTACAAGCCAAAACAGCTCTAAAGAAATATATGGATGGATTTTGATAAGAGAGACAACAGGATATGGACTTTTTTTTTACTGGATGAATCATTATTATGGATTATGGGCTCATATTTTAGCAACAGTTTAAAGTTAAAAACGATGGATTTGTTTCAGCTTTTGTCTTCTCCAGACGTTAACTGATG